GAGTCGCGCTAAATTCTACTTCTACCATAATTAATGAGAGTAGAAGATTTGAGCAAATGTTATGTAAGGTTATAATTAGGAGCAACCTCTTGCTCCTGAGTTCTCACTAACACAACTACTCTCCTCTTAAATAACTTAAGAAGTTCTAATTTTTCTAACTTCAAAAACATTAACAAATAGAACAGGCAGCATTGGTTCCAATTACGCAACTCTTTTCTTAAATACTCAACTTTGAGTTGAGTTATGAAAAAGAACACTCCCAACGCGAATTCGTTTATATTTGGTTCATAACTGTGGCCGTGACAGGATAATACTAAGGCCTTTGAAGAAAAGAGTAAAAACGATAAAGCAATCTTATAAAAGAATTTTACTTGAGCTATACCCTAATTACGAGTGTTTTGGTGGGAACCAAGTGATTTTTGGGTAGACAAAGACTTAGAATAAAGGTTTATTTACAAATACAGCAAATATGAGTAGGACGAACAATATATTGAGCCGGGGCTCCTTATAAGCAAGGCGGAGCTGACACGAGCACAAACTACATGTAGACGGGCTACATGCTTGGAAAGAGATGCCGTCGCGTAGGTAGACATCTAGTGCACAAATGCCACTCGCTCCTGAGTGATTACCCAAGAATGAATGGCTAAGAAAATCAATAAAATGAAATGGATTTCCCGTAGGCTAAAAGAGTTGCGTAATCAAAACTATGGATTGTATGGATGATGATTTACAAAATCATCAACAAGTGTGATTGAATCCAAGAATACCAACTTTTACATTTTTTATATGAGAAATGATGCCATGGGAGAACATGCAAGTGTTGCCTGAAGGCGTGCGCTGCACCAGTTGTATTTCTGCAGTCTGTGATTTTGCACTACAAGTGCTGTATGAACTTATTTGTTCGCTTTTATAGATATGCTTAGTGTCCGCATGGAAGCCTCAATTTTTTATGGGACGGCATATATTTGGTATGAAGGATGGTCCTGAGTATCTGCGAATGCTTTATTTGGAGAAGCAAACTGGAAAATCTCTAATCAACAAGGTGTGCTGAGTTAATAAAGTCCTTAAAACTCATCCTTATCCTCCTGACAATCCCTAATCTGAGAAATGGACTTTAAAGAGTCCCGAGGCAGGCACAATAGCAGCTGAAGCATATTTCGAACAAAAGCTTGATCATTTTGACACTAGCAATACGAATACCTGGAAGCAGGTAATATACGTTGAGAAGTTTTACACGCATTTCTCTCAAATTCTCTACTCAGCGCTATTTTCACAATTTCCAATATCAAAAATCGGAATCAAACGTGGTCTTCTTGATGATTGGAGGAGAAGGACCAGAGAGCATCTCATCTGTAGGCGCTTTTTCAATAAAAAAATAGAAAATAATACAAGGAAGTTGCTTGGAAGCTGAGAAATTTTCTAGGTTTCCAATGATACCTTTCCATTTGTTGCATGGGCAAAGAAGTTTGGCGCAATTATGTTCTGCCTGGAACATCGCTTCTACGGAAAAAGTCGTCCTACTCCGTTTGTTTCTGTGTTTTGATTGGAGTCTTTAGCTTTCTTGATAAAGCTCAATTCAGCAACCAATCTGTGGAAAATCTCCGTTACCTCAGTAGCCGCCAAGCTCTCAAGGATCTTGAGTACTTTATAGAATCAATGAATGCGAAACACAACCTAAAGAATCCAAAATGGATAACGTTTGGCGGGTCGTATCCTGGTAATATTTTTTCCTGCAAATTCTTATCAAAATGTCTGCGCGAAAAGTACAAGACGAGAGCTTTCTACTCGTGATGCTTTAAAATTTCATCGCATCCGTAGGGAGGTCAAAGCGAATTGTTAAAGTATATTTACCGAAAGTGCGAATTTTAAGAAAAACTTTCGATGTCATATGAACACGTTTCTCAAGCTAAAATGATCCAGGTTGAAACTACATTAGAAAGGAATAACAAAGTTGTTAGTGCGCTCGAAATTAGCTGAAGTATATTCTGCTTCCTTTCCAAACGGTTAAAAGTTTGATTTGAGCAACCCCAAAAATTCGGCCTTTCCATATACTAGTTTGAACGTATTACCGTGTCTTATTGGAAAATTCTGCCATATCAAACAACTTTTTCTCGCAGCTACTATAGCTATATAACCTAAGGCACTCATTTCAAAAAGGTCTCCTCATATCCATTTTATAGGGATCTGCTGAATGCTCTGCCTTGTAAAAACATGAATAAGGTGGCTAAAAGTGTTATGCAACTCTTTCGAGCACGTTAGAATTAGACTTTCCAAAAAACTATTTATTTTTATTAATTGGTCAGTTGTTATTCTATAAACGGTAACACAGTGCCAAAAAGGAAGAAAACACAAAGAATAGGTCGTAGAAAAACTGGGAAAAGTTTGACACAT